CATGGAGGACCACAGTTATATAAAAGAACCATGTAGGACCACAGTTATATTAAAGAACCATGGAGGACCACAGTTATATAAAAGAACCATGTAGGACCACAGTTATATTAAAGAACCATGTAGGACCACAGTTATATAAAAGAACCATGGAGGACCACAGTTATGTAAAAGAACCACAGAGGACCACAGTTATATAAAAGAACCACAGAGGACCACAGTTATATAAAAGAACCATGGAGGACCACAGTTATATAAAAGAACCACAGAGGACCACAGTTATATAAAAGAACCATGGAGGACCACAGTTATATAAAAGAACCACAGAGGACCACAGTTATATAAAAGAACCATGGAGGACCACAGTTATATAAAAGAACCATGGAGGACCACAGTTATATAAAAGAACCATGGAGGACCACAGTTATATAAAAGAACCACAGAGAACCACAGTTATATAAAAGAACCATGGAGGACCACAGTTATATAAAAGAACCACAGAGGACCACAGTTATATAAAAGAACCACAGAGGACCACAGTTATATAAAAGAACCACAGAGGACCACAGTTATATAAAAGAACCATGGAGGACCACAGTTATATAAAAGAACCATGGAGGACCACAGTTATATAAAAGAACCATGGAGGACCACAGTTATGTAAAAGAACCATGGAGGACCACAGTTATATAAAAGAACCATGGAGGACCACAGTTATATAAAAGAACCATGGAGGACCACAGTTATATAAAAGAACCATGGAGGACCACAGTTATATAAAAGAACCACAGAGGACCACAGTTATATAAAAGAACCATGGAGGACCACAGTTATATAAAAGAACCATGGAGGACCATAGTTATATAAAAGAACCATGGAGGACCAGTTATATAAAAGAACCACAGAGGACCACAGTTATATAAAAGAACCATGGAGGACCACAGTTATGTAAAAGAACCATGGAGGACCACAGTTATATAAAAAAACCATGGAGGACCACAGTTATATAAAAGAACCATGGAGGACCACAGTTATATAAAAGAACCATGGAGGACCACAGTTATATAAAAGAACCACAGAGAACCACAGTTATATAAAAGAACCATGGAGGACCACAGTTATATAAAAGAACCACAGAGGACCACAGTTATATAAAAGAACCACAGAGGACCACAGTTATATAAAAGAACCACAGAGGACCACAGTTATATAAAAGAACCACAGAGGACCACAGTTATATAAAAGAACCATGGAGGACCACAGTTATATAAAAGAACCATGGAGGACCACAGTTATATAAAAGAACCATGGAGGACCACAGTTATGTAAAAGAACCATGGAGGACCACAGTTATATAAAAGAACCATGGAGGACCACAGTTATATAAAAGAACCATGGAGGACCACAGTTATATAAAAGAACCATGGAGGACCACAGTTATATAAAAGAACCACAGAGGACCACAGTTATATAAAAGAACCATGGAGGACCACAGTTATATAAAAGAACCATGGAGGACCATAGTTATATAAAAGAACCATGGAGGACCACAGTTATATAAAAGAACCACAGAGGACCACAGTTATATAAAAGAACCACAGAGGACCACAGTTATATAAAAGAACCATGGAGGACCACAGTTATATAAAAGAACCATGGAGGACCATAGTTATATAAAAGAACCATGGAGGACCACAGTTATATAAAAGAACCACAGAGGACCACAGTTATATAAAAGAACCATGGAGGACCACAGTTATGTAAAAGAACCATGGAGGACCACAGTTATATAAAAGAACCACAGAGGACCACAGTTATATAAAAGAACCATGGAGGACCACAGTTATGTAAAAGAACCATGGAGGACCACAGTTATATAAAAGAACCATGGAGGACCACAGTTATATAAAAGAACCACAGAGGACCACAGTTATATAAAAGAACCACAGAGGACCACAGTTATATAAAAGAACCACAGAGGACCACAGTTATATAAAAGAACCATGGAGGACCACAGTTATATAAAAGAACCATGGAGGACCACAGTTATATAAAAGAACCATGGAGGACCACAGTTATATAAAAGAACCATGGAGGACCACAGTTATATAAAAGAACCATGGAGGACCACAGTTATATAAAAGAACCATGGAGGACCACAGTTATGTAAAAGAACCATGGAGGACCACAGTTATATAAAAGAACCATGGAGGACCACAGTTATATAAAAGAACCATGGAGGACCACAGTTATATAAAAGAACCATGGAGGACCACAGTTATATAAAAGAACCACAGAGGACCCACAGTTATATAAAAGAACCATGGAGGACCACAGTTATATAAAAGAACCATGGAGGACCATAGTTATATAAAAGAACCATGGAGGACCACAGTTATATAAAAGAACCACAGAGGACCACAGTTATATAAAAGAACCACAGAGGACCACAGTTATATAAAAGAACCATGGAGGACCACAGTTATGTAAAAGAACCATGGAGGACCACAGTTATATAAAAGAACCACAGAGGACCACAGTTATATAAAAGAACCATGGAGGACCACAGTTATGTAAAAGAACCATGGAGGACCACAGTTATATAAAAGAACCATGGAGGACCACAGTTATATAAAAGAACCACAGAGGACCACAGTTATATAAAAGAACCACAGAGGACCACAGTTATATAAAAGAACCACAGAGGACCACAGTTATATAAAAGAACCATGGAGGACCACAGTTATATAAAAGAACCACAGAGGACCACAGTTATATAAAAGAACCACAGAGGACCACAGTTATATAAAAGAACCATGGAGGACCACAGTTATATAAAAGAACCACAGAGGACCACAGTTATATAAAAGAACCATGGAGGACCACAGTTATATAAAAGAACCACAGAGGACCACAGTTATATAAAAGAACCACAGAGGACCACAGTTATATAAAAGAACCACAGAGGACCACAGTTATATAAAAGAACCATGGAGGACCACAGTTATATAAAAGAACCATGGAGGACCACAGTTATATAAAAGAACCATGGAGGACCACAGTTATATAAAAGAAGATTGCCAACGAGACCTGATGCGTCTTGAGCATGTGAGAGGATGGAAGCAATAACATTATTTAGTCGACCACAAAATATTTAAAATACACAAAATCCTCTGGTCAACAACGCACATGTCCAAAGAATGTCTGTAAATATTTGGTTGTCATCCGTTGCAAGCTCTCACACTGGATGAGTTCTCTGCGATGCCCGAAACATCAAACTGTCAACAAACAGAATCTTTCAGTTTTGACAGTTCAAAATCATCTGCGTATTTGAGTGAAATGATAGATGTAAGGCTCAGCAATGTTTGAAAAGGAACACAGCCAAAGAAACTCAACCATTCTTGGCTTAGAATCTTGGAAATACAGTTTCACAAGAAATCCTACACAATGTACAATATACAGAGAGCTGCGTCGTCAATGCTAAGTCCTTATAATGAGGAAACAGCTGGAGTTAGGGTTTTGACTCATGCAAACTCAGACACTGAACAAGAGATGATTTTGGTGTGAATATGTCATGATTGCACAGTTTTTCATGTAGGTTTACAGCATACAATGTAATTCTAAATATTTCAATTGTAAAAAAATATTAAGTTACTAGTTTTTGGGTGGGGGGCAGGAAACTGGAGCTCCTGGAGAAAACCCACAGAATAACATGCAAGCCCCACACAATAAGTTCTAGGCTGGCACAGGATCGAACCCACAACCTTTTAGCTAAGTCTGTAATTAAGTCACCGATGGTCTTCCAAAACCCTAAACTTTATGAGTCATACAATTATAATAATAACATTGTTTATCGGGAAGTAAGTAACAATGACATCAGGCAAACCAACTTTAAAGGAGACATATTATGACAAGACTATTTTTGAGACCTGGAGTTGCTTTTAGATATATCAGAATCAGAATCATTTTTATTGCCACGTAAGTAACAGGAGGTCACAGACTTGGAAATTGCTTTGGCTCAGTGCAACAGTCAGAGAGAGATAATAAGAATAAGAATAAAAAACCCTTCTAAAGAATAAATGTAAATTTAAAATAGAGTTACAGTTACTATTTACAATATACACAATGTAAGGTGACAGCAGTACAGTGAAGTAAAGTGACGTATGATGGGCAGTAAAGTGACTTTATACGTCACGCTAATATCCACTTTATATCCACGCTAATATTGGTCTAAAAGCTCAGTCCTGTAACAGTATGATGTCATTGTACCACTATGACATCACACTCAAACACACAAAAAATAATTGCCCATGAATCAGTTTTAGGCTCAAGTAAAATAATGTTCTTTACAAACGGCAAAAAATGTACTCCCCCTGGTGGTAGCATTGGGAGTTCCGGGCGGAAAGCAGTTTTACCCATCATATTTATTTCCCAATAATCTTTGATGATGGGTGAGAAACCTTCCTTTTCTTTGACTAATCCCTGTACGACTGAGGGCTTACACAAACTAGTCTTAGTATACTTTTCAGAGGCAAAAACAATGCCTAATATTTTTTTTAAGTCATTAGCATTGACATAGAAGCTTCTGCGTGATTGGAAATGTGCGTCTTTCCTGTTATTTTCATTGCTACACGCTTCACAGAAAACACAAACAATAAGTTTAAGCTTGATTCTATAAAATGGAGGTACAGAAAACATTGCATTTGGCTGCTCTGTTGCCGCTGGATCCCAAAAAGGACAACAGGCTCTTTATTTGGAGCAGGTGAAGCTGGTTTTGGCACTGTGAGTGTAACACATTCTTGTCTTTGGTCCAGGATTCCTATTC